ATCCCTCACTCAAATGTGATAAGTCTATTCCTAAATTACCGATCCCTCACTCAAATGTGATAAGTCCTAAATTACCGATCCCTCACTCAAATGTGATAAGTCTATTCCTAAATTACCAATCCCTCACTCAAATGTGATAAGTCTATTCCTAAATTACCAATCCCTCACTCAAATGTGATAAGTCTATTCCTAAATTACCGATCCCTCACTCAAATGTGATAAGTCTATTCCTAAATTACCAATCCCTCACTCAAATGTGATAAGTCTATTCCTAAATTACCAATCCCTCACTCAAATGTGATAAGTCTATTCCTAAATTACCAATCCCTCACTCAAATGTGATAAGTCTATTCCTAAATTACCAATCCCTCACTCAAATGTGATAAGTCTATTCCTAAATTACCAATCCCTCACTCAAATGTGATAAGTCTATTCCTAAATTACCGATCCCTCACTCAAATGTGATAAGTCTATTCCTAAATTACCAATCCCTCACTCAAATGTGATAAGTCTATTCCTAAATTACCAATCCCTCACTCAAATGTGATAAGTCTATTCCTAAATTACCAATCCCTCACTCAAATGTGATAAGTCTATTCCTAAATTACCAATCCCTCACTCAAATGTGATAAGTCTATTCCTAAATCACCGATCCCTCACTAAAATGTGATAAGTCCTAAATTACCGATCCCTCACTCAAATGTGATAAGTCTATTCCTAAATTACCAATCCCTCACTCAAATGTGATAAGTCTATTCCTAAATTACCAATCCCTCACTCAAATGTGATAAGTCTATTCCTAAATTACCAATCCCTCACTCAAATGTGATAAGTCTATTCCTAAATTACCGATCCCTCACTCAAATGTGATAAGTCTATTCCTAAATTACCAATCCCTCACTCAAATGTGATAAGTCTATTCCTAAATTACCAATCCCTCACTCAAATGTGATAAGTCTATTCCTAAATTACCGATCCCTCACTCAAATGTGATAAGTCCTAAATTACCAATCCCTCACTCAAATGTGATAAGTCCTAAATTACCGATCCCTCACTCAAATGTGATAAGTATATTCCTAAATTACCGATCCCTCACTCAAATGTGATAAGTCTATTCCTAAATTACCAATCCCTCACTCAAATGTGATAAGTCTATTCCTAAATCACCGATCCCTCACTAAAATGTGATAAGTCCTAAATTACCGATCCCTCACTCAAATGTGATAAGTCTATTCCTAAATTACCAATCCCTCACTCAAATGTGATAAGTCTATTCCTAAATTACCAATCCCTCACTCAAATGTGATACGTCTATTCCTAAATTACCGATCCCTCACTCAAATGTGATAAGTCCTAAATTACCAATCCCTCACTCAAATGTGATAAGTCCTAAATTACCGATCCCTCACTCAAATGTGATAAGTCTATTCCTAAATTACCAATCCCTCACTCAAATGTGATAAGTATATTCCTAAATTACCGATCCCTCACTCAAATGTGATAAGTCCTAAATTACCGATCCCTCACTCAAATGTGATAAGTCTATTCCTAAATTACCAATCCCTCACTCAAATGTGATAAGTCTATTCCTAAATTACCAATCCCTCACTCAAATGTGATAAGTCTATTCCTAAATTACCAATCCCTCACTCAAATGTGATAAGTATATTCCTAAATTACCGATCCCTCACTCAAATGTGATAAGTCTATTCCTAAATTACCAATCCCTCACTCAAATGTGATAAGTCTATTCCTAAATTACCAATCCCTCACTCAAATGTGATAAGTATATTCCTAAATTACCGATCCCTCACTCAAATGTGATAAGTCCTAAATTACCGATCCCTCACTCAAATGTGATAAGTCTATTCCTAAATTACCAATCCCTCACTCAAATGTGATAAGTCTATTCCTAAATTACCAATCCCTCACTCAAATGTGATAAGTATATTCCTAAATTACCGATCCCTCACTCAAATGTGATAAGTCTATTCCTAAATTACCAATCCCTCACTCAAATGTGATAAGTCCTAAATTACCAATCCCTCACTCAAATGTGATAAGTCCTAAATTACCGATCCCTCACTCAAATGTGATAAGTCTATTCCTAAATTACCAATCCCTCACTCAAATGTGATAAGTCTATTCCTAAATTACCAATCCCTCACTCAAATGTGATAAGTATATTCCTAAATTACCGATCCCTCACTCAAATGTGATAAGTCCTAAATTACCAATCCCTCACTCAAATGTGATAAGTATATTCCTAAATTACCGATCCCTCACTCAAATGTGATAAGTCTATTCCTAAATTACCAATCCCTCACTCAAATAATGTGATAAGTCTATTCCTAAATTACCAATCCCTCACTCAAATGTGATAAGTATATTCCTAAATTACCGATCCCTCACTCAAATGTGATAAGTCCTAAATTACCAATCCCTCACTCAAATGTGATAAGTCTATTCCTAAATTACCAATCCCTCACTCAAATGTGATAAGTCTATTCCTAAATTACCGATCCCTCACTCAAATGTGATAAGTCTATTCCTAAATTACCGATCCCTCACTCAAATGTGATAAGTCTATTCCTAAATTACCAATCCCTCACTCAAATGTGATAAGTCTATTCCTAAATTACCAATCCCTCACTCAAATGTGATAAGTCTATTCCTAAATTACCGATCCCTCACTCAAATGTGATAAGTCCTAAATTACCAATCCCTCACTCAAATGTGATAAGTCCTAAATTACCGATCCCTCACTCAAATGTGATAAGTATATTCCTAAATTACCGATCCCTCACTCAAATGTGATAAGTCTATTCCTAAATTACCAATCCCTCACTCAAATGTGATAAGTCTATTCCTAAATCACCGATCCCTCACTAAAATGTGATAAGTCCTAAATTACCGATCCCTCACTCAAATGTGATAAGTCTATTCCTAAATTACCAATCCCTCACTCAAATGTGATAAGTCTATTCCTAAATTACCAATCCCTCACTCAAATGTGATACGTCTATTCCTAAATTACCGATCCCTCACTCAAATGTGATAAGTCCTAAATTACCAATCCCTCACTCAAATGTGATAAGTCCTAAATTACCGATCCCTCACTCAAATGTGATAAGTCTATTCCTAAATTACCAATCCCTCACTCAAATGTGATAAGTATATTCCTAAATTACCGATCCCTCACTCAAATGTGATAAGTCCTAAATTACCGATCCCTCACTCAAATGTGATAAGTCTATTCCTAAATTACCAATCCCTCACTCAAATGTGATAAGTCTATTCCTAAATTACCAATCCCTCACTCAAATGTGATAAGTCTATTCCTAAATTACCAATCCCTCACTCAAATGTGATAAGTATATTCCTAAATTACCGATCCCTCACTCAAATGTGATAAGTCTATTCCTAAATTACCAATCCCTCACTCAAATGTGATAAGTCTATTCCTAAATTACCAATCCCTCACTCAAATGTGATAAGTATATTCCTAAATTACCGATCCCTCACTCAAATGTGATAAGTCCTAAATTACCGATCCCTCACTCAAATGTGATAAGTCTATTCCTAAATTACCAATCCCTCACTCAAATGTGATAAGTCTATTCCTAAATTACCAATCCCTCACTCAAATGTGATAAGTATATTCCTAAATTACCGATCCCTCACTCAAATGTGATAAGTCTATTCCTAAATTACCAATCCCTCACTCAAATGTGATAAGTCCTAAATTACCAATCCCTCACTCAAATGTGATAAGTCCTAAATTACCGATCCCTCACTCAAATGTGATAAGTCTATTCCTAAATTACCAATCCCTCACTCAAATGTGATAAGTCTATTCCTAAATTACCAATCCCTCACTCAAATGTGATAAGTATATTCCTAAATTACCGATCCCTTACTCAAATGTGATAAGTCCTAAATTACCAATCCCTCACTCAAATGTGATAAGTATATTCCTAAATTACCGATCCCTCACTCAAATGTGATAAGTCTATTCCTAAATTACCAATCCCTCACTCAAATAATGTGATAAGTCTATTCCTAAATTACCAATCCCTCACTCAAATGTGATAAGTATATTCCTAAATTACCGATCCCTCACTCAAATGTGATAAGTCCTAAATTACCGATCCCTCACTCAAATGTGATAAGTCTATTCCTAAATTACCAATCCCTCACTCAAATGTGATAAGTCTATTCCTAAATTACCGATCCCTCACTCAAATGTGATAAGTCCTAAATTACCAATCCCTCACTCAAATGTGATAAGTCTATTCCTAAATTACCGATCCCTCACTCAAATGTGATAAGTCTATTCCTAAATTACCAATCCCTCACTCAAATGTGATAAGTCTATTCCTAAATTACCGATCCCTCACTCAAATGTGATAAGTCCTAAATTACCAATCCCTCACTCAAATGTGATAAGTCCTAAATTACCGATCCCTCACTCAAATGTGATAAGTCTATTCCTAAATTACCAATCCCTCACTCAAATGTGATAAGTCTATTCCTAAATTACCAATCCCTCACTCAAATAATGTGATAAGTCTATTCCTAAATTACCAATCCCTCACTCAAATGTGATAAGTCTATTCCTAAATTACCAATCCCTCACTCAAATGTGATAAGTCTATTCCTAAATTACCAATCCCTCACTCAAATGTGATAAGTCCTAAATTACCGATCCCTCACTCAAATGTGATAAGTCTATTCCTAAATTACCAATCCCTCACTCAAATGTGATAAGTCTATTCCTAAATTACCAATCCCTCACTCAAATATGTGATAAGTCTATTCCTAAATTACCAATCCCTCACTCAAATGTGATAAGTCTATTCCTAAATTACCAATCCCTCACTCAAATGTGATAAGTCTATTCCTAAATTACCAATCCCTCACTCAAATGTGATAAGTCCTAAATTACCAATCCCTCACTCAAATGTGATAAGTCCTAAATTACCGATCCCTCATGCCAGGTTGTGATGAAGAAGCTGATCAAGGAAGGCGGAAGTATCTCCAACTTCAACGATTTCTGGAAGATAATAATGGCAGACGGAACTAACTGTGTGAAGTGTCCCGAGTGGTGTTACGTGGATGATGGGAGTAAGGGGTACCAGTCTTGCAAGGAGAACAGTGATTGTGACTCCTTCAAGGCAAACCAGTGTCTCAGCCATTGTGCTATGATCTGAGTCAGGGATCTGATTTTAGGTGGTAACCATGGCGACGACAGTCGACACAATTTCTGATTTTGGGTCGTATCTTGATCTAGATGAGTTTATCTCTGGGATACTTTTTAGTTTTATTTGTTAACTAATTATTACTAATTGTTCTGTGATATTGATTGTGTTTTACTTATCACTTTATCAAACGTTACCATCATCTGATTATAACACTAATAGTTATCCAATACTTAGTACTTACTCATCAGTAATCTCTGCTGACTGTTCTAAGAATGAGTAACCCACTATTTACTCGCCAATATTTACTCGCCACTATTTACTCGCCACTACTTACTCGCCACTATTTACTCGCCACTATTTACTCGCCACAATTTACTCGCCACTATTTACTCGCCACTATTTACTCGCCACTATTTAGTATTTACTCGCCACTACTTACTCGCCACTACTTACTCGCCACTATTTACTCGCCACTATTTACTCGCCACTACTTACTCGCCACTATTTACTCGCCACTATTTACTCGCCACTACTTAGTCGCCACTATTTACTCGCCACTATTTACTCGCCACTACTTACTCGCCACTATTTACTCATCACTACTTACTCGCCACTATTTACTCGCCACTATTTACTCGCCACTATTACTTCCACGAGACTTGTCACATCATGATAATTCACTATGAATATTAACTGATAAACATTTTCATTAGCTGTTTAAACAATGGTGGTCATGGTGGTTAACAAGTGCTCATTCATCACATTGTAACAAATTGTAACAATCCTCAGAGCACGTGCACACGTACTAGGTTCAGTGAGCACGTGGAACAGCACTAGTACCATGACAACACACTCACTCAGGCCATGCAGGGTATCAACATGTTGTGGCGAGCAATCAGTTCAAATTTACCGTGCATACGGCATAAAGTTTTCAACCAATGATAATTGGAAGGCAAGGCATGTGGCCAATAGGAAGAGTGCAAATTGCCCACGTGCACGCACAAACTATGCACGTGACTGCCACCTGATGATTGACGTGTCAAGTCAGTCCCTAGGGCAAGTTTTTGTTCACGCTACTGAATCAACACTGATTTGAGTGTGGATGAGTGCCAGGATCTCTTTGATGAATTAAATGAAACTTTTTGGTGAAAAGCTTGGGCCAACCTCGAACTTGAGATTCTAGCAGGAGAGGACGTGAATGGTCTTAACCCCGTCTATAGGTCATTAATTTGGGGATGGAGATAAACATTTAACATTTTTGATCATGCAGCCATGACCTAGAATTATGATTAAAATTATAAAGGGTAATTTAAGTATTGTCCCACGTATCAGAAATCTGCATTTATCTGCAACCCATAAATATGCCATTAACTATTAGTACGACTAATACATGCTCGCACAAACTTACCTTTTAAATAGTCGGCACAGTGTTATAATACCAGATCTAAACTATGGTAATGATATCTGCCTCAAAGGTCACGTGCTCAAATCAAAGGTCACGTGCTCGAATCAAACCTGATCACCATGGTTCATCGGAGAGTTTTCAAACACAGGTTATAAAACATTTGTATTCATTTACCCCTTATATTTAAATGACGGTCGACACAGCAGCATGATCACATTTAAAGTAGTACTCAAGTAATATCACGTGACCAGTAGTAGCTATAATGACTATTTTATCACGTGATCAGTTTTCTTGACTGCATTTGTTTTAAAACCATTCACGATAATAGTGATACCTTGATACCTCAGTGCCCGGACAGGGGTGCCAATCTAACCCAAACCAATCATCAACGTTAATGTCCAACCTTTAAGAGGGATCACTGCAATAAAAGGGTAAATGAATACAATTGTTTTACGCTATATATCAGGCGTTTGAAAACTCTCTGACAAATGCGGAGGTGGCGTTTTACCACGTGATGGTAGCACGTGGGCATCACGTGGGCGCCAGATAGGTTAGTGGAAATCTATAGTGGTGAGTTGTGGTTGGTGGAGAGGGGTTTTTGAAAAGCATATCAAACGGGACACCATTGTAGTGCGTGCAGTTTCTAATTTATTGACGATCACCAACGTTTAATGAAACCTTCCAAGCTATATTATGGGTTACCTGGTTCTGAGTTCGGCCTGATTGAGAAAACAGCGATTTATAAACGTTTTAAATAGAAAAAAGCAGCTCAAGATATATAGTGTTTAAGAGAGGAAATAGAAAAGAGCGATATAAAGCCTTCTAGTGAAACTGAATGAAAGCGTTGAGTGCTTTCGTCAATCAATGCTGCATAATCTGCGACCTAAAAGTATTCCGGTCTTTTGTAAAGCTGCAAGTGAAATTACTAGAATGTCTGCCAAATATAGAGTGTTTACTGAAGAACCTTTAGGATCGACATTCGACAGGGTTTATCTGATTTCATAATTCATATTAACGTCACTGTTTCCACTCTAGACCAAAACAGAAAAACCTTTTGCCGATAAGTTGAAAAACATTCAAGTCTTGGCCGATCAGTTAGAATTAAATGGGAAATGCAATAATATTTCATGTTTGTGATACGCAGATGAGTAGATATTTTAATCACAATCCCAAAGCTCTTTTCAATTTCTAAAAAAACTGCAGCTACTTTTTTCTAAGGAACGTGACCACCTTGATCTAGATTCAGATTCTTTGAATCACACTAACAAAGGTCCCCTCCAAATACCCCTCTCCGAGTCGTTATTTTTCTTCTTTGATGCGTAAAATACTCCTCTCAAATGCTTCTTCAACAATTTTCTCCCTGATAAAGGCAGATCGCAGGTCCAATCAGGTCTGAGAGACTGAGAAGTCTGATAATTACGATTTGCTCGAGGCCTATTGTTCGAGCGAACGTTCCTTTTTGGGGGTTTCAAAACAGATGTATTGCGAGCTGTGATCACGTGACTCGGTGGTCACCTGACTGGGCGAGTTGTGATTGGCTGTTGAATCAAAGCGTGATTTTATTCACCAAAACAAAGGGATTTTTCAAAGTGCCTTCTCCTTTTTTTGTCTAATCGTTTTCAGAAAGAGTGCCCCTCTTTAAGTTGAAATGATCGTCATGCTTTCTTATTTTCTGGTACGAGGAGATATTGAATCTTTGAATGAGAGGAGGCATGATCTTAATTCAAACTTTTCTCACGGCTAATAGAAAAGTAATGACACTATTCATTACTCCTTAAAGGGGAGATTTGAGAACATGAGCTCACCTCCTCCCACAACCCTGGTATATTGGAAAAAGTGTTTTAAATCACGACCCAAACCTAACTTTCTCATATCATTCAGAGAGATCATTGGATGAGACATGCATTTAGAATTTAATTTCGTGGCTCGCGGTATGTAAGTATCATCGGAAGGCAATTATAACCATGAGTTTTTATCAGAGAAAGAGAGAGAGAGAGAGATGAAATAGCTTCTAATGTATTTCGGAGATGTTTTGTAATTTTTGAAAAATTGTAACAACCACGTCATCCATAGTATTTACCAAGAAAAACAAAATTTCATTAACTTTTTCTGGAGTACAGGCATGAAGGAGGTTGTAAGTTAAATCAGATCGATCGAAATGATTCCATCAAAATACTTTTTACAAGGAGAAGAGTGGTTCATTTTTATGAAATGAGAAGAATATTTTAAATATTCAAAAATTCGGAAGAATTTGCGTCGCTGAGTATAAAATGGCGACATGAGTTTTTACTAATGCACGCTAAAACATATAGTTTTTCGGTATCAACGTCCGAGGACTCAATGTTTTTGAAAGGTCTCAATTAGGGAAACACTTAAATTGGTTCAAATTGTAGCACGTGACACTCATTTTAGCCCCACATCATAACTTCTTAACTAAAATGCGTATGTCTATTAGTATTACAGTGTTTGTTGTCGACCCTTGTCGCCAACGAGACAGTAAACAAAATGTGTCGCGTTATAATGTGACGTGGGTTTTACAAATTTGGGTAGCTAATTTTATATTTCACAATTAACATGTCTCGCCCATCAATTTTAATTTTAAAAATGATTTGAGATGCAGATTGCAAATGAATATGGGGTGTCTCCCTAAAATATGTGCTGTAATTAAATTTTCAAATTCTTAATATTTTGCTTTTCACTTCAGAAAGCAACAACTCGGTATAATAAACTCTCACTCCCCTCTCATAAACAAGTCATCACGTGTCTTGAACTAAGTCTAATCCAAAAAACCCTCCTAAAACCCACTTTTATCGGCTGGTTTCCCTAGCAACTGTAAATATGGTTGCCATGGTTACCATGGTTACTTTACCAATGCCACGCAACTTCAATCTGGAAACCTCAATAGATTTCCCAGGGATCGAGGTGAACCATGTCTGCGTCAGTGCTTTATAGATTGCTAGCAGGGTTAGATTGGTATCAGAACCCTTACTATTATCAAACTATTCCCAACCCCAGCAGATTCCCTACCAACTCTAACTATAATCTAGCCACCCCATGACATGAACTATATATAATCCGTTCCCAAAATAAAAGCTGGTACATGATACAACGGGTTGATAACTTGATAACAGTGTTAGGTTCCTTGTTGTTATCGAACTTTACCGAAATCTATCAGATTCCCAACTCTAATCTGAAGCTGAGGATTCCCTACACCCACTCTAACTGGCAGTTTACCAGCCAACTTCCATACTGAAATAGCTGAAGTAGTTGATAACGAACCGTACCAAAATCTGTAGTGATAGATTCCAGCGATCTATCAGACTCCCAACTCCAATCTGAAGCTGAGGATTCCCTACACTCTAACTCCACCACTACCGGCCCTCTCCCACTAACTAAGCTATATCCCTCATTTTCCCTCCTCACCCGCGTTCCTATAAGGTTTTAAGTTCTGAGTTATCTGTCACAACTATGAGATAAGAGACGACTCAGTGATAGCTCGGTCACGTGACTTGTGATCGCACACGTGATCACTGCTCGGGGTGTGCCTCTCCTTTTTACAAAAACAATAGGTCACCTGGCGACAGAACGAACCCATAGCAACCATAACGCCAAGCGTAACATCAGATAAAACCCACTGTACCGGGTTGTCGGGGGCAGTCACGTGATGGACACGTGGGCTGTATTCTCGCATCTGGTTGGCAGGGAAACCACAACATGCTCGTTTAGCAATCAGGGATTTATTTTTTAGGGGA